GAATACTATGCGCTGCCATAGGTTATCATTAAAAAACTTTGCATCAAGGGCCGAATAGGCACGGATGTTAAACCTAGGGCGGGCCACAAGAAATGTCAGATAAGAAATAAGGCCCAGACTAGGTTTAACTTGTTGAACTACACCCTGCCCAGTGCATATGTTAGTTTCTATCCGAAGCATTCACAATATTAGGGCAAGGCCCTAACAATACGAACAGTGTTACCAATCTATGTAAAACAAATCCCAAATGCCCCAAACAGTATTCTAAGAAAGAAATGGTGTCTTATATCCTTCACCCTCAGTCAAGATTCAATATCAATAAAATATAACAATTGCTTTTTAAAAAACTGGTGAAGTATTTCTTATTTTCAAGTACTTGTTGGTAATGCCGCGACTTAAATTTTAAATAGGCTCAACAATAATATTAATAGCGGTCTATATTGGATTTATTTAAGTTATCGAACCACCCTCCCCCCCAAATGTACTGTACCTATGTCAGCAATTGATAACGGTAAGTAAGAGATAAATGTGAGAGTGATACAAGAGAGTGATAACATTAATACCTAATATAGTTATAATATAGATAACATCATCTCCCACATTTCACTGATATTAAATTAACCCAGGTTGCAAAGGGTAAACCTAAGACAATATATAAGATAACAAGCTATTCACAAGTTCTTTATATAAATAGCAAAGTACCTACAGCTAAAATGAATTTATTTATACACAGCGTCGTCGGAGAGCACGTGACATACGCACAAATCATATGAGCCCTATTATAGTTACATTTATTGCATGAAAACGAGAATATCACACTTATCTTAATCACTTATATCATATTGTTCTAGATGCTGTGAAATATTCATACGGTTTATTAATATATTTTACGAAAATTGGTGACTCCTATGATATTATGTATATTGTATATGTTAATGTAACTGCTTTCAAATGTTTTTTTCAATGAATAAAAAAGGAATAAAAATAAAATTCACCACACCTGGTTGCATAAAATAAGAAAAATTAAAACTTCAATTTCTGAGATGATACACCAGTGGCATGATTATATACAAATCCTTGAAGTGTTACGTGTTCAATCTTAAACTATAACCCGTTACCATGGTAACATGTTTTGGGTAAATTTTGAAAATTCAAGGTACATGTATTTATTAATGAACTTCAAGTCAATCTAATAGCAAAGGATGATCGCAATACAAGAAAGGTGCCTCGTCCGCCAATCCACTAACCACATGTTGCGAATGACAGATCTTTATGATATTGACCATTGGTCAACCATGCCGTTACTTTTATAGTAATCATTAGATCAATGATTTTCAGCATGGTATAAATGAATTCGAATATAATCTTAAGTCTAAACACTTTGGATCCCATGTGCTGTTTGCGTGTCAAATCACCGTACCGTACTATTTCATATTTTATCTCATTCAAAACAAATCAATGAAATGGTGAAACATTTTCGTCTCGACGTTCATGTTCTTGAAAAAGTTCAATGATTTGATATGTTCATAGTACTAGCATTGACCATGCATTGGCCATGGGGATATAACGTTGCATTATTTTCAAGTATAGTTTCTGTCTTAATGTAAACCAATCAAAGTTATTATCCGAGTCACGTGTCACATTTTAGTCCCAAGTTCCTATCTTGGAACACAGTTATACCTAGATGGCCCTCTTAGCAAACGTATGCGATGACAGTGCACGTGGTAACTAGGTGTTTTGCAAAAAATCACGTTTATTGATGTCAAGTTGTATGTGAACGATCCTAATAAAACATATTTAGCGACATCGCATATGCATCACTTAATTGAACGATTTCATGCCTTTTATGGGGAACTGAGATTAATGTGTTAAACCTTCAAAATGTCTTATCCAAGAAGGTGAAATCTGTCAAGTCGAACAAGTGAAAATGTTTTATAACAAGCCTTTGATATTTTCGGATCACGTTTTCGTCTAGAAGGACGTATACGTATAATATATTTGGTGATGTCACTCTTTGTATTAATAAAAACACATTTCAACACATGCTTTATAATTCTTCTCTGAAATAAAAAAAGTGAATAGAAAAACCAAAAAACATATTTCAAATTCCAATATTATTATGTGATTGTGATTCGGGACGATATAACCCTATCGGTCTGTTTATTGCCACTATGAAGCTGCATTCAGACACTAACTTTAATATGTACTAGCATGTCCCAAGGGTTCTTGGATTAGCTATCAGTCAACATGCTATCATATGGTATCGTAGATCGACCTCTTACCCCAATCTTACAATATAACAAAAATGTCAATCAAGACCATTTATAGACACAGACTTTGGTTTAAAGACTATTTTCTGTGGGTATTATTAAGCTTGAAAAATCGGTAAATGCCTTGTAATATTTCAAGATTTCCGAAATTTTGGCTTCTTGTGTATATGCATGTGTAAATGTGTAAATAAATGACCACCAAAAGACTATTTTTCTATTGACGAGTGAGGGGATCATATTAAAAGAATCTGCTGACATGATAAAGTATCTAATGATTGGTAGAGACAGGATTCTTATATCAAAGTAACATTTTATATGTCATTTGAAGAATGTAATCCTATTTTCTTTACTTTATTGCTATATTTTCTGTTATTGAAAATTGTATATCGGATGTCCGTTTGAGCCTAATGGCCTAGTCACATAGCCCGGCCGATGTCCGGCATCGGTATGTAGAGCTCGGTGGATTTTTTTGGTGCCACCGAGCTCTCCTCATCGGAAGCAGAGCTCGGTGACGTGAACGGACTCCGTCCGGACATCTTCAGGCGACCGACCGAACACCGGCCGGTGACTGTACGGAGTCTGTCTCAAAATGGTAGTTTTTTTCTGCCGATGTGGCAGCAACTACCGGCCGGAGGTCGGCCGGACATCGGAAGGAATACGGCCGGTACCCGAGCAGGTAACAGGACACCGTGCGATCGCCGGCCGGGTTGTTAACGGGCTTTGAACAGTGACCGGCCGATGCTCTGTCCCACATCGGCCGGAGCTCGGTCGGAGCTCGGCCGCTGTCCGTTAAAAAACCTCGTCCTCTGGTTGTCTCAGATGCACGGGACACCGGCCGATACTCCGGCCGACGTGTTTTCCGATGTGGTTACGATGGGGCTGCGATGACATGATGAGGGAGCTCGGTGAGAGCCCGGTGAAATTTAACTCCGAAGTTAAAATTTCACCGAGCTACCACCGATGCGGTTTTAAGCAACAAACGCCACGGATGTCCGGTCGGTGTCCGGCCGAGTTCGGTGAAAATTGCATCGCTGGCTCATCGTAACCTCATCGGCTGGGCTATGTGACTAGGCCATAATGGGGATCAGTACTAATGAAATCCTATATTATATGTTTATGCAGGGGGATTGCAGGTAAAATGGACAAGTTTTCAGATTTTGTCTGCAATATTATGATATATTATATGATATACTTGATAAGTATCAAAGAAAACCTCAAATTCATATTCCATATTATTTTGTTAATTGAAAGTAAAGACATCATAAAAATCTGTCATATAGACACGGAAATGTTGAAGGGTTGATTTCCAATTGCTGATTTTGGATATATTATTCAAGAAGAAGAGACCAGGTCGTTATCATTGCTTTAAAATATGTGTGTTGAATGTGTTTTGAAAATGGTTTTAAATGGTATCCTTGAATTCATTATTGCATAGACAATTTTCAATTTGAGTGCAGTAGGGGAGAGATGGGGCATCTTAATTACCCTTGGTGAAGAGTGAAAAATAAAATTAATTCTTTTATGAACAGATATGTCAAAATGTGTTTTAATAGAGGTAAACAAGTATGTATAAGTGACGCCTTTTAGAACATGCTTAGAAAATATAAAGTTCCCGACAATTATGATTAGTATTAATGTAAATCGTGCGGCGTGTCATGTTCTTTTCTTCAAATTTTGCTAAATGTAAAACCATTGGTACCATATTAAAAACGAAAGGACAATAGAAAAGCTAGAAAATTCTCCTGCAATTTGTCATACTATGAATATCATGAATGACTTAATTTAAGTACTAAGAATGTGTTTTTATGTTTTATGAGTTTTCGAAAAAAACAGTGTACTCCATCCTACGTGTCCTCCACCCTCAAATAACCAATATGACTTCTGAAATTGGATAGTTTCTAAATAGCAGAAAATCAATGAAATCTAGTGCTGCCATCTTTTATTCATCTTTTATTCATCATCTTTTAATTTGGGCTAGAGTTCCATTCACTTATGCTAAAATCTTGGAAAAGTGGCTTAATTTCATCAAAGTGTGTTAGTTGAATCTGTATAAAACTTGAATGATATACCACATGATGACCCTGTTTTAATGTACATGTTGTGATTAAATATGCAAACGTTGATTGACATACAAATAATTCAAGCTTTTAAAGAATTTTAGCATTGCATTCTATGGAGATTTGGCCCAAGTTTTTTTTAAATTGTCATAGAAAGTTATTCAAATTACATAACTGTGTAAATCAAAGCTATTATAGGACAAAACATTTCACTGAATTCAAATATGCCATTTAAAAGAAGGTAATGTAAGTCATTCAGAGAGGTCTAATATGCACATATCTTAAAATCTCACAAGATTTCAAAAGCAATATGGAAACTATACTTTTAAGTTACGTTTCATAGGGCAAGGGTGTATTTAAGATTTGTGACTATAACAGCGACGTCAGCAGACCGGCAATATTTTTCTTAAGACCGCGTCTTCAATAAATAAATTCCATCCCTACCAATGAAGTATTCAAAATGATGAAGTTGAAGAATGGATACACAAAGACATAAACTCCCTTATTTACAATAAGTGGACTATTTATGATCCTTTGTTTCTTTGTTCTCGCTGCTTGCTGGTTGCATTACATTATCAAGATTCGTTGGCAAAGTCTGTTTACACATTAAGTGCATAATCACAATTCGATTACGTAATGTTACATAATTGTAAAGTGATTACATAATATTAATTATAAATTATTCAAACATGACCGTGCTCTATTCGAATTTCTCAACCAATCAGAATGCAGCATAGCCAATATAGAACGTTCTCTAATTAAGGAATAAATAATGATAGGCCATTCAATATGGTGAAATTCAGCACGAGTTGGACAGAATGTTGTACAAAGCACGAACCGAAGGTGAGTGCATTTGTACTAACATTCTGTCCAACGAGTGCTGAATTTCACCATATTGAATGGCCTATCATTATTTATTCCGATTCAAACATAAAAATTAGTAAAAGCCGTGTCTGTGGAACGGGCATGAAGGAAGAATACCCATGCTGTCAAGATTCTGAAGTCGGCCGGAAAAATTTTAGAATTTGTTTGGGCTGTTCTATTTTACTCCCCGTTTTAGATTTTATACAGTGTATGCAATAGTTACAGTAGTTACGGAGGGAGTAAAAAAGAACAGCTATCCCCGGACAGAGCCCCAGATGTGCAGCTGAGATGTGACGTCACTCAAAACAATGCAAATTGCAGATTGAATAGAGCATGGTCGTGCATCTATGGAGAATTAGAGAACGTTCTATATTGGCTATGCTGCATTCTGATTGGTTGAGAAATTCGAATAGAGCACGGTCATGTTTGAATTATCCATAGATGCACGACCATGCTCTATTCAATCTGTAGTTTGCATTGTTTTGAGTGACGTCACATCTCAGCTGCACATCTGGGGCTCTGTCCGGGGATAGCTGTTCCTTCATGCCCGTTCCACAGACACGGCTTTTACTAATTTTTATGTTTGAATCGGAATAAATAATGATAGGCCATTCAATATGGTGAAATTCAGCACTCGTTGGACAGAATGTTAGTACAAATGCACTCACCTTCGGTTCGTGCTTTGTACAACATTCTGTCCAACTCGTTGGACAGAATGTTAGTACAAATGCACTCACCTTCGGTTCGTGCTTTGTACAACATTCTGTCCAACTCGTGCTGAATTTCACCATATTGAATGGCCTATCATTATTTATTCCTTAAATGAAAGTTTGGCATAAACAAATAAAGCCAAAAATATGACCAGAATCTATAAATCTGATGTCATGCAGATATACTTAAGTTATAATATATATTTCACATTATAATTACAACTTGTTTTACAATCTTTTCAGTCCCACTCATGGGAAAGTGAAAAATAAAACAAGTTAATATTCGTTTTAAAATCTCCAAAGTTAAGATTCACAGTGTGTGATGGGGTGCACGAGATACTGCAATATAAACATTTTCTAGCGATTTATTGATTACATTTTCACAGACGACATCACGTTTGAATGTCAAGGTGAAAATGATAAACAAAAATAAAAAGTCATTCACTAAATAAGCTCCTTTTAAAAACCTGCCAGGACATCATTAAAAAGTAGCAGACCTTATATAGTCGGATAAAAGGAAGCAACACATCAACAGCTTGGAAAAGATGCAGTACAAATTGTATTTTGCCATTGGGATCATATTCTCAATAAGTGGTTTTACAGAATCACTTTCGAAGACAAAAGAGAAAGAAATCAAAGATGATATTGTTCAACTCATAGAGATTAACGTAAACCCGAAAGGTGAACTTCATTTCATCGCGGGATTTGTTCGTGTAGCTTTCCATGATTGTGTTGGAGGATGCGATGGGTAAGTCATCTGAGTTCATGACCTGGTAGTATAGATGTCCATAGCATTAAAACTCCTCCTCACGAATGGTTTAGTTTACGCTTATTTCATGTATCGGAATGAGGCATTTCATGTGTATGGAATGAGACAATAATCATGTTGAGCCATTATTTCTGTCCCGCCGGGATATTTTAATTTCTAAAGTCAGCGACTAAGTTTGCCCATACGATGATATCCAAGTATTATATACTGTACACTGTGTACAGTTCTTAATATATTGTTTTATATGTTCTTAGATGTCTCAATTTGAGAGATAGCAATAATGCCGGACTTGATGTTTATGTCGAGCCGCTTGAAACAGTTTATGCCAAATACAACACTGACTTGACGAGAGCAGATTTTTGGCAATTGGTGGGAATAACTGCAATTGAACGAAGTGCGAGAAATTGTAGAGCATGCATCAGGCCAAAGCTTGTATTTGAAACAGGTTTGTTTTGGCATACCCATTTTTATGCAAAAAGTAAAACAACAGGTAGAAACTAGCCAACCTAAGATGCGCATCTTCGTTACCCTACTATCACACCAAACTAGTTCTCACTGTGTTCTCGAAAACGGGCTTCAACTGTATAGGAACGGACTGGACCTACTAAGAACCGTTTGGGATCTATTTACAAACTTCATCGAACGTACTCGAACGGGTAGGTCCTCTAGACCTTAGACAATGCTCAAAATGTTCTCGTGGTCGTCACGTTCTACAATTAGAACGAGTGACAACGTACTAACGACGAGCTGGACGTACTACGAACGGAACCGTCGTACTTCAATCCTACTAGGGACGTTTTAACAATGAGTTGAACTGTCTGCGGACGTGTTGAGAACGAGGTAGAACTAATTGTAAACGGGTTTAAACTGATTAAGAACGTAATTAACACTGCTTATGAACGAGTTAGCAAAAATATAGCTATCACATCAAACAAGTTGCCACTGCGTTCTTCAAAACTGGTTTTAAACTGTGTGTGAACGGAATGAACGTAGCTGCAACTTTCTAAGGTCTATTTACGAACTTTATGAACGTTCTCAGACGGGAATGTGATTTTAGAATTTTGAATCGATTCAAAATTCGATGACGACCATACCGTTCTGTAATCAGGTCATGTTGACCTTCTAGAATAAGGGACGCGTTCTACTACGTTGCACTCCGACGTGGTGCGACCTGAACGAACTGCGAACGAGATGGACGTATTGAAGATTATTTCAGACATATTTCCCGACCACAGCCAGATTGAGCCCGTTTGACGACGTTTTCGTAGGACTGGCAAGAACGGGTAAGAACTAGTTTGGTGTGATAGGGGGGTTAACTCGGCTCCCGTCGAACGCAGTGGAACTATATGCGAGCTATGGCCAAACTGCCCCAATTCACGTCACCATACTAGCCAATGGGCAAAAGGGCAAACGCCTGACTTTTTATCTCGAGTTAGGGATTTATGTGGCCTCACTGGCCTATCTGAGGTTCTTAAAGGTACATTTTGACACTACTATAAGGGCCAAACATCTACTTTTTGAAATAATTGATCAATTGTGACAAAACCCCCTCTCTCTGCCGACAGAAAGTGATATTCACAAAAATGAAGGCAAAATTAATACGCCACTTGACTCGAAATTTTCCTTCAGATAACCCAAATAAACGCATTTTCAGAAGAAATGGCATGTTGTCATTGCAAAAATATGACAACTGTGCCTACATTCTAGCTTACTGACTCGTCATGATCACAAATGTGTTGGGACTACATTTATTTTTGAAAACTACTTCTTTTATTCAGCGGTAGTAACGTATTAGGGCATTTTGGCCTATGCGAAGCTCAGTAAATGCAAATATCGTTGAAAAATCAGAGGTCAATCAAAAACAATCTTTACCACTGTTCCACAACTAGTTACTTAGACTGAATATTGTTCATATAACATGTATAACGGACTTTCGTCAATGTAACAAAAGCGAGGGGCTAAATATATGAATTGCAAGTTCATTTACAAAACAAATTCCAAATCGAAGAAACTAGGCTATATTTTCTAGCTTTGCGCCAAAACAAAACAAATTCCAAATTCGAAGAAACTAGGCTATATTTTCTAGCTTTGCGCCAAATTATAATATGCAACTTGACTTGTAATAAGTAGGTTTAAGAATACGGAACTAAGAATATGGTAAATTTTCATTTTATAGGACGAAAAGACTGTGCCGATTCCCCTGATTATAAAGGACTAAGAACTTTTCCTATGGGCGGGGGTCATGCTGATATCAACAGTGGAATGATTTTTCTGGAAAATGCCTTTGGTGAGTACAGAGTGACACGTAATTGTAGCGTAGAGTGTTAATATATTTCCGGAAGTTTGCAATTCTTCGCCAAACTTCTAAGTGAGTGGTTTCTATCGGAAACTGAGCAGCGCCACTGAGTCATTAGTCAGATGACCCTTCATTTTCATATACCCCAAACTTGACTTTATCAAAACAATCCTCAGAAAATTTCTGACCTAAAGAAGGCAATCACTGCTGATGTGATGCCAGTACAAGAGCTGAATATGTAAAGGTATCTTGTCTTATGAATCCATTTCTGCCTTGGTCTCAATTGTGGCAAATTGGAGTCGGTAATATAAATGATCACAGCTCTTGAACCAGTCGACAAGTTGTATTGAAACTTTCAGGAACTGTTCTGATGTGTACTGAATTTCATTGATGTCACTTGTCTAGTTTAGGAGATATTGCCTACACCAATAGTCTCCTTTTTTCCGGTCACCCTGTAGTACTAAACAAATTTTTTAAAAAGGCCTTGGTTACAGTGGTTAAGCTTTAATGTCCTGTTTAAGAAGCCCTATTCTAACTTTCGAAAATGGATTCGATCAATGCTAACAATCCTTTACACTCTTACCAGGTCTTCCACGCACCGATCCTAAATTGGCAACTGCTTTGATTGGCGCCCACAGTCTTGGTGAGTCCCATGCTTCAGCTTCCGGATGGAATGGACGCTGGACCCAAAATCCCGATCAGATCACAAACAGATACTACAAGAATCTCATCAAGTTGAGGTGGTCACAGATCGACCTCAATAAGGGAAAACCCGGTGTAGATCCAATTTATCAATGGCAACCAGGCAAATGTAAGTTGATGTACAAAATTAACGTATTTTTCGTTGATCATACCATTTAATTAATTACGTGAATTACATGATATTGAATATTCAATTTTATATCATTTTAGTTCACTCAAAGAAACAGAATATATTTGACAAGCGGAAGAAAGGAGTAATGATGCTGAATGCAGACCTTGCTTTTGCTAAAAATCTATCTACAGATGCAACAGGCTTATCGGGATGTCCGGTTTCATCCAAGTGCAAAGATCAGCCGGACACTGCCGAGTGGGTACGGAAATATGCGGATAATGCGACACTCTGGGAGGAAAACTTTGCCATTGCGTATATGATGATGATTAGAACTGGGTACAACGCTACAGACCTACATGCAACCACTGCACCGTGACCATTGACGATGCTCATCCTAGAACTTCCACTACTGAAGTTATAAATGATATATATTTAGATCTAGATTTAGATTAAATGAACTAGAAAAACATTTCAAAATGTAACGTGTAAAAAGACTTTTGTAGTAATGTACAACAGAACTGCTAGTTTATGGGTATGGCGCCGGTGTATGAAGAATCCGTAGCACAATAAAATAAATTCTCCGATCGTGATTTGAGCTGTTTTTGAATAAAAAAGACGGAGTATGAAAAATAAAAAAACGTCCCTACCGTGATACCCTAAATCATATTGGTATGTTCTTATACCGCTCATATTTATAAAATAAAGATAAACGTAAGTTTTTACAACAGTGGTCATTCGAAGTTTTCGCCATATTAGATTTACATAATTAACGATCGCAATTACACCTTCGTCAGGCTAGATGAAAAAACGAACTCGACCAAAACTTGGTAAAGCATTAACATGTAATTCGAAATTAATAAACAATCAAGATTAATAAACTTTCGATTTCATGTTTTACTCCAAGCCCTAATAACGCAGACTGCTCTAATGGCGAAAATTGCGTTCGTTTTTTAGGTAAAGTCCCAGAATGCACTGCGAGTCAACATTACAATTTTCGAACAGACGCGAGTAAATCCTACACGGCATATGGTATATTATTGATGTTTGACCAATCAGATTTCAGCATTTGGTTCAGCCCTTGTCCGAGAAATATTTTGTGATTGGTCAAACATGTGCCATATAATATGCCGTATAGGATTCACCATTAAGTCCAGGCTCTTCGTTTTTTTGTTCGAAACAATGAAGAAATTAAGCCATTATGATTTGATTACCCTGCGTGCAGAGTCTAGTTAAGAAGACGAAGCTCTCTTTTAAGAAATGAAGTCAAACGAATGCAAAGGGTATGATTTGATGAATATATTGATTGTTTGAAATAAAAAAATCCACCCGAGCAAGTTTGTCGGTCACTTTTTGTCCCCGAAAATTATGTTTTGCCCCCACCCCCAGGGGGTGGCAGGGGGTCAAAACGAAAAAAAATTATTTCAAGAAAAGCTTTTTATATAACAACAGAAAATATGTTGATTCAAGAAGTAAATATATTAGAAAAAAGTTTTAGGTGTTTTTTGTTCATATTACTTAGTAAAATCAATAATTAAATTATTTAATTTTCAGTAATTAACAATGTTGGTAACATGAAGTTTGAAGATATTTTGTCATAATTATAAGATCTTTCAATATTTATTGATGGAAAAAATCAGGAAGAGAGCTCTAGTATGCCTCCATAAGTCCTACAAATTTCAAATTATAAGAATCATTAATATTGGAGAAAAAAATTATTTAACCGGTAAGCTAAGAAGCAAGAGTGGGGGAGGGGGGAGGTATATTGTCCCTAGCCTTAGCACTTCTCTTATTTTTTGTTCGAATCTTGTGACTTTATGAATATATTGGTTGTTTCAAATGAAAAAATCTGCCTGAGCAAATTCTTGGGTCACTTTTTGTCTCATAAAATTATGTGTGGCCAGATCTGGACTAAAGGCTGCATGGGCCAAGGGCTTCGTGTTCAGGTCCAGGGATATTGTATCCTGCACAGTTTGAGATATTTGGGCAGGGGCATTATCCACATGGAGTACTGTGTTACCTATTCTTACTAGCCCCTTCTTCCACAGTGCATTTTCAAATCAACCTGCAAACCCTGACCATACAACACTTTGACATCACAATACTATAATCTTTGTGTTACCACAGGCAGCATGATATTCAAACAACACAACTCTTTTGGCATATCAAAAAGTTCAAATCTAACTGATATGCTAAATTGGCATTACTTCAGTATGTGACGTTAATGTCGGTCCCGGGGTACCTGTACCCCCTTCACGAAACTAAAGATATATCAACACGCATTACATATCTTGTCTTCAAATCTTCAGAGTTGACAGATAATTGAATGATGTATCACTGGTCAGAAAAATCAAAGAGATTGGTTCATAAAAAGCATCCGTGTAAAAAAGCGTCCATTACTTATTGATCACCCCTCGTATGTTCGTTCAATTAGAAGATATAACGAAAATTTGTTTTCAGTATTTTTATAATTTATATTACCAATATTTTGATCACTTAATGTCCAGTGATTCTTGTTGGTAACATGGATTTTGATGATATTTTGTCATAATTCTAAGATTCTAAGTGAGCTCTGATATCATTCTATAAGCTCAATGAATTTCAAACTATAGGAATCATTTAATAAAGAGAAAAAATTCTTAGCCAACTAAGTCAAGAAGCAAGAAGGAGGGGGGGGGGGGGGGGGGTTAGTCCAGGATCTCCATGTTCTTTCTTGTTTGAATTTCTGCAGAAATTAAGCCATAAATTTCATAAATATTTTGATTTAGATGAAAAATCCATCTGAGCAAGCTTCTTGCTCACTTTTTGCCTCAAGATTTATGTTTTACTCCCACCTCTGGAGAGGGTCCGAGGGGGGGGGGGTGAGGGGAGTCAAACTCTAAGGAAATATTTTTGAGCAAACTCTTTCCCAGATTTTCATGAAATAACTGATCCTATTAGGTAAAGATCATAAGAATTAGTAATATGTGTTTATTATAGGTAATGATCATTGGAATTAGTTGTTTATTGCAAAATTGAAATTTTAACCCTTTGATGTCCACCTTTTCAAGTTTTGTTAACATTAATTTTGAGGATATTATATCATTATTCTAAGATCTTTTTATGTTTAATCAAGAAAATTCAGCTAAAAATGGTTCAATATAAACCTTATGTCCAAACTGATTTCATATTATAACAAATATTGATGATGCAGAAAAAAGAATTTGTCTATTGTGCGGGGGGGGCGGAGTTAACAATCTCTCCCTGAATGGCTGGAGAAACTGTTTTGAAATCATTGTTTCACCCATTTAACAAGAGACAATGAAAGGGAAGGGGGTGACTGAGAAGAAATTTAAAAACTCTTTTACATTTTCTTAAAGTGTCTCACATATTCGATCAAAACTTGCCATGCAAACATGTTAGTCTACTTTACTGGCCCCCCTTGCTGTAACAAGGAATTCCAAAACACATTAAAACGTAAACATAAACCAATTAGTCACTTCACTATGAAAGTGAGGGGTGTTGCTGTGTGCATGGACTAACACAATATCAGTGGTCATTTACTGTGTCAACTTAGTAACCCTTGCATATCGTGCTCACTCAAGTATTGAATAATTTTTTTATGATCTAAATGTTTGTGGTTTATAAAAAAAAGTGATATATTTTAGTTAGAAATACATTAATTAATATATTCATTCAAACAGCACTAGAATGTGGGAAGAAAGAGCAATGGTGACAAAATGCAGACAGAATTTTACTTAAGGGTTTCAAACATTTCTGAACACAATCATACATGTACTTCATGTGTACTGTTATTTTTAGTGCTGCATTTATAGATATAATTTCACGTATTAAAATCATATTTTCCAGCAATGACTTCAAATTCGGAACCACACCCATATCACATTTTCTTCAATAACTCCAAACATGTGTAAACATTGACCATGTGCATATAAATTCAGATTTCACGAGCTCTTTCCTATTCGAGTACCTCATACACCCCTGCATGGATTTGAGTTGGATTCGCCTTTTATACGTGAGCCGACACACTCGCAAACGCTGATTGGATAAAGATTGCGAGAATCTTTAAATCAATTTGAGCGATCTAGTTTATCAAGCTAGCAAAATAAATTGTAAACTACATGCTAATACCCTGAAAATTTGCATTTTACCATAACTGTGCCTCAAATTAAACATGTTTTATTCCTCTCAGTCTTATACTTGTAAAGTCAAACAGCTTTATGTTAATATAGCATGGCATTTCGAGGCCATTGTTTTTTTCATGGTCAAAGTTTACCATAAAAAATACTGTAACCATATTATTTAATTGCAAGAAGGATGAATCAATTCATTGTTTAAATACACCATAAGATGCACAGAATACAATGATTTGCCTAATAGTGCATGATGATCTATCTATGAGTATGAAATACCTTAGAAGATCATGTAGGTAAAAATCAAGTTAAATTGTACATTTCTCAAGGGACCCCCACACAAGGATCAGTTTTTGAACAATATGTTAATAGACGTACTTAATAATAGTAGTAGAAATCTCATGGTTGATGCAATACAGTGGGTAATGTATGTGCATGTATGAATCATTATTAAATCCCCCATTGACATCGGGTTGATGGGGGTGGAGTAATGTTTATATGAACTTATATGTTCATATTATCTAGATACATCACTGTCATAATTTCTGGATCTATAAAATCATATATCAGTAATGTAATATAAGAATTTTTCATTGGATTCCATTATGTACAGAACAATGAATCTGGAGAGGGGAGGGGGGCGTAAAAGGATTAATATCACTAATAAATTCTAAATACCCTGCAGAATACCTACAAAAAGTGAAGTTTACATGAACAGACCATCTAGGCCATGATAAAAAAGTTTGCACAAATACTAGTAATGTACTCACAAAATACTTTTTCATAATGACCCCTACCCCCTGTTGAAGAATGGGTTGGGATCTTGTGATTTATTTTCTCAATATTGATCAAACAAATCACTGTCTTACTTTCTGGATCTATCAAATGATACTTGAGCAATGTTGTTGATTTTTGTCATTGATATCAATGTGATGCAAAAAAAACTATGAGTGAATATTCTTGATAATAGGTATACTCAACACTGAATTGGGGGTAGTAAAAAGCTTGAAATTAAAAAGAAATTCGAAATATCTTTCAAAATGTCAAATAAATAGCAAACTGTACATTAATTGACCATTTTAAGCATGATAAAAAAAGAGTTTGCAAATCATAATATACTCACTAGATAGTTTTTCATGTTGACCCCTGTTGAAGAGTGGGTGAGGCTGCTTTGATTTTTTCTCAATATAAATAGGACACATCACTGTCATACTTTCTGGATCTATGGAATGATTTTAGAACAATGCTGTGGAATTGTTCCATAGACTTTGATGTACTATTGCAAAAGTTATGAGAGAATCATCTTGAAATGAGGTATACTCAACATGGAATTGATGGTAGTAAAAGGTAGGAAAAGGCTTAAAATAAAAAATTAATTCAAAATATCCTGCAAAATGTCTTAATAAATTGTGAACTTCATATTAATTTACCATCTCAAGCAGGATAAAAAAGA